CATTGCCCCTTGTCACAACTCAGTGATAAACCACACCCCCACTCAGCAAAACTGATGGGCCACCCACTTACTCAGTATTTGTTCCTTTTCCACACACACCCCCAACTGTGTGATGCATGTCTTGTGTGAATACCAATAGTGGGATTTGTGGCAGATAAACTGGCTCTTTTCTAGATGGGAAATATTAAGGAAACTATCATATCGCTCTGTAACACATGGTGAACAACACTGGATTCTATCTCTGAGCAGATGCTTTCTTTTATTTATGAGACCACTCTTTATTTTATTTCATTTCTAGTCAAAACTGACATTAAGTACAAGTTATTAAGTTTCAGGAGTTCTGAGGAGGATAATTTTGGAGGTAACCAACTTCTAGGACTGAATTTTGGAGGTGTGAAATAAGGAAGGGGAAAGTCAAAAAGAACGAAAAAATAAGAGTATCCAAAACTGCAGTTAAAAAATAATTCAAAGATATAGAAAAAAATGGGACTCCTAACAACCATGCAGGACCTGGTAGACCACTTAGATAAGCCGTACTTAAAGCTTTCACCTTTTCTCAAGCTTTGAGAAAAAAATCCACAGGTGTTTCTGTCCATCCTTCCACTGTGAGAAGACAACTCAATGCTATGAGTCTGAAAAGATGTGTAGCTGCCAAGAAGTGACAGTGAAAAGGAAATAGACAATAATAATAAAATAAAACAAAATAAAATTTGCACCCAAACAGAACCCAGACCTAAAAATGCAACCAACCTCTAAGACTGAACTTTGGAGGTGTGAAAAAATATCTCTGCAGATTTATGTAAGTGCAAGAAAAGTAAGAAGAAAGAGCTGATTTATTTTATTTACATTTGTTTGTCTTTAGCCAACTGATAAACTCATTTAATTCCCACTGTGACACAAATCTAGTGACTGTAGAAAATAACTGTGGTCAGGTAAATAATTGCAATTATCACAAATAACTGCCATCAGGCAATCATGTAATAATTGTGATAGATATATTTAGTTGGTGAGGCTTCTGTGTAATGTTCTGTTAAATATACAGTACTGTGCAAATATCTAAGCATCTAAGTGCATGATTTAAAACCATATAAATATGTGAGCTTTTCCATTCCATCACCAGCACATTTGATTTAATGTATTGAGGTACTGAGGAGTCAAATCAGGTTTCGGATGGCAATTACAATTAGTATTGGGCTACTTTTAGGAGAAGTTTGGAAAGGGTTGAACAAACACATTGATAGTTGTATGAATGTTATTTGTATTTATTCCAATATTAGTGTTTGTCTGAGTAGATGCTTGCTGACCAGATAGATACCCCTTCAAATCAAATTTTCTCAGGTGCCTGAAAACTTTTTTTTTGCAAGTTTACTTTTTTCCTGATGCTGAAAGACAAATAACTTGAACTGGCTTTTTAACTGGAAATTAAATAATTTAATTAAATATAATTGGGTCATCCTACAGAAACATCCACTTTTCTGTCTATCCATAGGAGTCACTGGTGTTACCAATCCTCATTGGTGTTACATATAAGAGAGGTAACACCAGTGACATTTTTGATAAAAAAAAAAAAATGCATTTTACAAAATGGCTGCCACAGAGCATCAAACCACATGTTGTCAGTCATAGAATATCCACTAAAATATGTAATTTAATCAGTTTGTATTCTATTTTTCACAGTTACCTAAGAATAAAGTAAATCACACCAGTGACATCAACAAAAAGCTTCATATGAAATCATGAACTAAATGAGAAATTTATGATAACTGAAAGGACACAGTGGACGTACCATGTGCTTTTCTTCATAGATCTTCAGAAAATAGGTAAAAGGAAGTCAAGTGATGTCATCAGTGTGATTTTTATTTCAAAATAAGAGATTTTTTGTTACATGGTAACACCAGTGACACGACTCCTGGGGACCACAACTTTCATATTTATTTTAGAATATTTATGTGGCATTTGTTTTCTTTGTCGTTTAATTTATATATTCTAGAGTCATATACGTATCATTGCAGTTAAAACTGTGTGCTAGAGACACAAAAATGGACATTTCTGTAGAATGACCCAATTAATAAAGGGTGGTTGTTGATTTTGCATTGTATTTTTAATTTTTTTTTTTTTTCCCAATTTTACACTGCACACATACTCAGGGCAGTAAGTAGGCTCCTGGAGTCTGCTTTTGGCAGATCAGAATCAGTGCGTCAATGCGCTTCCTGTACATTAAACAGCACGACACATACAAACCAAACCACCACATTCACTTCATAAGTATTTAACAAACTATGTCCATCACGTCATAGTTCCTGTATAAGACGGAAAGCACTAGCACAATTTCATGTCAAATCGCCTGAAGAGGAAGTCTCATTACCACCTACTACGCACCTCAGACCCACAACACAAACTAGTGCAACTGCTACTGGTATAAACTGGTTTAAAGAGGCTTTACTGTGAGATTAAAGCTGCAATTTTGATTCCTCTGTCATTGTCGTATTAACATGCTGAAGATAAGACTGCCTCACGTTTCTGGGCTAATAGCCCCCAACATTAGCATAAACCTGAGAACCAGCTTTTGGTTCATAGACTCCAGGCAAAGGATCTGCTACTATGGATTATACATGACATCTGTAGCTACTGAACATAATGTTTTCTGAGCCAAATTCTCTTCCTAAAGCTGGGCGACTATGCACAAAAAGCACTGTAGTTTTTTAAAGGTTAGTATCAAATGGACAGTGACAGCTGTCAGTTTGCACTTCAAACCACAGAGAAATAGAGGTTAATTAAAATTCAAAATGATGAAGTACAGAGTGAAAAACAAAACAAAAAAAAATTGCCACTGTCCAATTTTGAAAGTTACCAGAAGTTTTACTTTATCTATCATTTAAGGCAACTTGAATCTTTTCAGCTGCTTTCCAAACAGAAATCGGTACATCATCTCTCAATATTGTTAAGACAGTCACTACAATAGCACTGTTTATTTTGCCACACCTGAATTAAATAAATGACGCTTGACATGAACTCGGAATGAAACAGTCCACTCATCCGTAGTCATGTTATTCCATTCAAAAATCCAGTGATTAGACAGAAAACAGAAAAGCTGCTATTGCTTTTAGAAGATATGTGAGATTCATTACTAATTCTACTTGAGATGTACTTCACTTAATTTATAAGCAAACATACAATCATAGATGCCCTGAAGATGCTCCAAGGATGTGGCTCCAGTCTGCTTTTTCCGAACCATCCACGGCACAGGTCAACATGAAACTATGTTCAAAAACACGAAAATGATGTTCAACAAAAGAAATAAGGGTACAAATAATTTCACACTCTGTGGAGTAAGCCTTCTTTTCTGTGATAAAACAACAGGAAACTGTTATTCTAAAGGGGCACATACAAAGTCACGTACAGAGAAAGGACTGTACAACTGTACATTCAGCCATGAGTAAACTTCTAATTTAAAATCACACACGGCTCATCTGCTTGGTAATATGAAGGGAAAGATTAAGGTAATGTCTTTAAGAGTCCTGATCACTGGTATCAGTGCAAATTTTCAATTCTTTAAAAAAATTATTACTTCAGTAGTTAGGAGAATATCTGCAAATGCTGTAGTCTTGTCTATATCTAGATGCCAGAAAAGACTCGTGTGGGGTCAAATAATCAGATGACATCGTACAGATACAGAATTACTGGCTGCCCTCTGGGTGAAGCATGGAAAATCATTTAGACACTCAATCGAGGATGATTAACGCAGGACGGACAGTACATTTCTTATGTGAAAGCACTTTGCCAGGCATAGTTCAGTTGGAATAGCTCAAATAAGCAGTCATTCCTCCGTCGGATCCAATTTCACTGTTCTTAGTATGTTATCTCTGCCATGTCAGCAAGAAAACAAGATATAATGATGCAGAAGAAAACAGGATGCACTGGTAGTGATTAAGTGCATTTTTTTCCCAGATACAAGCTTCAGCCTCTTTCTAGATTACACATTAAATCATCAAAATGACTTCATCTGTTTCAATACAACTGGACTGAAGTAACTTCACTGTATGGTTCATAGAGTCTTCAGGCAGATCATATATGGTAAATAACATTGTTTCTTATGCCTTTTATTTGCAGTAGGTGCAACAACTGAAACCCATAACTAACAGAGTCACTATGCCTACTCCTCTAACCGATCAGTGGTCTGAAGATAACGAGATGCTATCAGAGAGGATGCAGAAGACGGGGCAGACAAGAAAGAAACGAAAGAGAATGTTTAACGTTTTTCACTGTCAGGATACCCAGCCGAGCGTTTTCACAAACTGCACAGCAAAAACTCCTAAGAGTTTCTGGACATTCATCAAAAAAGCTTTAGCAGTATGTTTGACACAAGAGCAGTGAGGACTTACATTACTCACTGCTTACAGTACAGCGCAAAAGCCTTCATTTACTTCATTTCCAGTCAAAACAGCATTTAAATTAAAGTTACTAAATTTTTCAGGACATATTTCTGAAAAGATCAGATATACAATACTTGCATAAGGAAGATGAAAGTAAAAAAAAAAGTGAAAACAGGAGTTTCCAAAACTGGAGATAAAAAAAAACTGACAAAAGATGTAGAGAAAATAAGACTCCTAGACCGCAAGACCAGGTAGAGCACAAGAACTGTCACCATTAGATAAACAGAACTTCAAATTTTCATATTTGAGAGAGAGGAGAAAATCAAGCTTCGCTCTTGCTTCAGATCTTCAAGCATTTACTGAGAAAATGAAATATTCATGAAAAAAAAATAAATTTTGTAAATGAAACAAAGCTGTTGCTCTCAGAACAATGGACTGTCCACCCCAGAGTCCAGACCTCAACATCACTGAATGTGTATGGAATTACTTGGATCTTGAGAAATCAGCAAGTGCAACCACCTTCTAAAACTTCAAAGATTTGGAAAAACATCTCTCCAGATTTTTTTGAAAACAGTGAAAGCGAGTCTCCTGAAAAGAATGGAAGCTGTAATAAAGGTAAAAGGTGGACACAATAAAAACAGACATTATATTTAGTTGTCAAGGCTTCTATGTAATTGTTTATTATGTTTATTATGTGTCCTGTTTTTTTTCCCTGACACTGAAAACAAATAACTTATACTCTAAAATTTGTCTTTAAATTAACTTTAAATTAATGAAGGGTTTTGCACAGTACTGTATACTGAATCTAGCCTTTTTTTAATCTAAGAATGAATAATCATCCACATTAAACTTCACCTGATAGACTAGAAGTGTTCAGGCAACAACACAGTTTAAATTCCATGGTATAAACATCTGCCAGAAGTTAATGTAAGATTAATTTATAAAAAGAATTAAGCTCCAAACTGGTCCAAAGCTGACTTCTTCCCACATAGCCAGTCACAGGGTGGCCGATCAAACAGTTTTAACAGTCCTCCACTGAGCCTTATGTATCAGCACTCGCACCTGCAAAATGGAGGAGGCCCTCACTATATTGGAATAGAGACGATGGTGGGCAGCTCTCCTATGGGGGGAGGGTTGTACTTTTCCACTCGCATGAGCCGACGAAGTATGTCATCTCTGTCTCTGGGCCAGCAGAAGATGTGTGTGTTCTGGAGCCATGTGGGAACGTGGCACTGGTGATCACAGAGGTCAAGTTAGAACAGAATAGAAAGCTTAAATGTAGTGTAATAGATTTCAATTCATGATCATTGAAATCTATTTCAGTTTCAATTAACAGTGAAAAAGGTCTCTTGATGATTTACCCCTTAAACTCCAAGATTTTTTCATTCAGTTATTTAAGGCACATTATCCAGTAACTAATATGAATTATTCAGTGACTACTATAAAATTATGATCCAAGTTATCCCAGAGATTAACAGACATGCAAATGACAAATACTACCCTTCAGTGTAACAAGTTTAGGCAGCCCATTTTAGGGATACTGAAATCTGATTCTTTTAATTCTTTTAAATCTGTTTTTTTTTATGGAGGTTAAATCTAAAGCTGGGACCACTTAAAGATCTTAAATTATTAATACTGGCAGTGAAATTAATAAGTACATTCTATTGTCTGTTTATGTTGTGGTTGTTTCCGCAGTTGTTCAAACCTTCAGTTCTGGGGACTCTAGTTTCCACACTAGTAAAAATGCCATCTGAAGAGTGCAAGTATTTTCCTGTTGTTATTTCAGTTTTTAAATTTAGCAAATAACAATAATTGTGCATTAAAACATGCAGCGGTGTGTCCTCGGTAGTGGATGCGTTTACTTATTTTCACTTCGAAAATCAACAAAACATGTAATTTGACTGTGGGTGCCCAACTTTTTGCATACAACTGTACTGAATTTCGAACTGTAAAAAATATAAAAGTATTAACATTTTTTCCCTTTTCACTGATTTCTTTAAAACTGCTTATCGTTGCGGCCCTAGTTTAGCAAGCAAAAGTTAAAAGGTTTTTGTCTACTGAAGAGAATCTAGAGTTGCTAGCACCATAAAACTTCACCACCACTAATAAAACAAGCACAACAACAGAACTTAAAGCCCTGCCTAGGATGAGTGAAGCAGCAGTTCATTTGTGAGCATCTGGTGTTGCTATAGTGTGAAGGTTTTCATTTCTTTTCCTAGCAGACTGATGGCAGAAGTAATGCCCAGCCTTACACCACACGACTTTTCAAGCAATTTCACTGTCACAGACGTATGTCCAATGTTGGTATAAAATCGTGAGAGTTTTGGTGGCCTGGCCTGGCCTGGGCTTGCCACAAATATTTTCTAACTAGCCCTAAACCTTATAATTCTCAACATCCATAATTTCATTCTGGGTCACATTCATCCGCTCCAGAGGGGGCGAAAGGGTGTGGAAAGAAAGCAAGAGAAAGAGAAAGAGAAACTGCACGTATGAGAGAGAGGGAAAGAACGAGAGAGTGTGAGAGTGAGAAAGAGAGAGCGCGGGCAAGGGTGTGTTCTATTGGACTGTGCAAAAGGAGGAGAAACTAGTGGAGTTGTGGAGTAAGCAAGAGTGTCTCTCTGACGTTTCTTCCCATACATACCGCGATAGAGTGGAGAAGGAAAAAAGGTGGACAGAAATTCTGGTGTCTTGTCTTTTTGGCTGTTTTGTTCTGAATAAAGCACTGTAGGGCAGCTGTGGCCAAAAGCTGCTTCTTTATCTGCTGCATTGTTGTAGTTTTTCTTCTTGTAAATTTCCAACAGGAGTGTGAAGGAAAATAATCTCAAAAGCAATTTAGTTGCAGTTTTGCAAACAGTGATCCCGCAAGATCCTCAGTTTCTGCAAATTCATAATCTGTGACTAACAACTCTGTGACTGATGACACATTGCGTTTAGATGTGAGAGGGTGTCAGACTTTAGTATTTTCAAAGTCTTCTAGTGGATGGTTAGCGTAAGATTTTGTTCATTAAGAAGTTGACAAGTCACGATAGACTTACTGACGTATACTGAGTGACGGCATTGACATTTATAAGTTAACATTAATACTACAGACATCCTGATTCATAATCTAAACTATTTCTTTCATCTCCAACCACCTTTTAGCTCAGCTTGCATAGGATAAAGAGCATTTTAAATGCAATGCTTGTCAAACAATAACTTTTGTACCTGTTGTACGAAAGTTGTTGTGTTTTTTAGAAAAGAGTTATTGCAGAATGAATCTTACTTTCTTGGCTCCAGGAAACAGTACAGGAATGAATCTGAAATTCTTGCAACCGTTCTGAATGAATTCATTCTGTAACTGAAAGGCAAAACACAGCACAGTAAAGGCTATGAAACTAGTGAACTTTCCACAGAAACTGAGATTTGCTCAGAAACGAACAAAAGAATTAGAAAACACATTCACACCTGCTTGTGGATATAGACAGTGTTGAGCGTTTCATCATTTTCCATGCATAACGCGGCATTGGTCACAATCTCATAGTACTTCGGACTGATGATGATAATGATCAGGTAGTCTTTCTGAAAGGGAAAAAAGTGACACTTCCACTGAGAAACAGAAACGTTTTGGTTTCAGAAGAATGTTTTCACATTTAGAAGTTCCAAGATTATGGGAAGTGATGCCTGTTTTGTGTTATTTTTGAACATAAAACCTGTGTAAATGTTCCCACTATATTTAAGATGTTTACTCACAGCCTTAAGAATCATATTTATAATCACATTTGAAGTCGAAGCTTTAAATATTTTTCTTAAGTTTTGAAATGAAGGGCACAAGATAAACATCTCATCATCACACCACTGGTTGTATAGTGAGTGGCCATAACAAAGACATAAGTAGTCTTGTTCTATACCAACTTATTTCAGACTACACTCATTTTCCAGTTGTTTCATTTCTGCAACAAGCAAAATGGGAATTGGGTGAGTTGGGTTGAGGTAAATAAATGTAAACAAAAGAAAACAGTAAATGCATTTACTGAGACACATCATGGGGTTTTTCTAACTACGCTGGTGCTGGGGCAGCACTGAGTAATACTGGTGTGTTTGTTAGCTATGTAGCTAATTCGAATGCTCCTAGCACATATACTAGCAGAATGAGTGTTTTTTTTTTTGGACATATTTTCACCCTTGCTCAACTCTGCATCTGATTCTGTAGATATCCGTGTGAGTATTTGGGCGCTCACAACAGTGTAGTGTATCATTTTGCGAGTACAACAGGTATTAACTACTAATCAAACACAGCTTGAAGGAAAAATGGCCAAACAGCCAATCTGGCCACTTTAGGCTTGTACTATAATGTCTGCATTCAATAAACAAGAAAAGCCATTTAAATAGTTAATTGCAATTATTTAGATGACAGCTAATCGTCAGCGAAAACCTTCTGATCGTGACGGCCCTAATATCAGCGGCCTGAAGATGAAGGAACATAAAACCTCTTACCTCAGCAATGTACCTCTCCATGAAGTCTATCTTACTTATGCTTCTGAAATGTTGTTCAAACATGTCGATCTAAAAACAAAGAGCACAGGTAACAATTACTGACCTGAATCAAGTTCATTGTCCTCACTTGCCATAACTGTAAACAGGATCTAAGTGCAGGAGTGTTTCAGAGAAATCTGTACCAGGCTTCTATCAGCTTAGTGTTGATGGCATCTTTAAAAATGTATGCCCTCAGGTATAAGATTGGTTTCCCTAAGCCAAAAATTTGAAATTCCTCATTACTCAGTTTCACACAGTATCAAGTTGTTTTCTCTCTTACGTGAGTGTAGAAGCCATTGTGTCTCAGCAAGGCGACAAAATTGATGACCTCTTTAACATGTTTATCACTGTCTGCTTCGTAAGTGACAAACACCTTCCCTGCAGCAAGAGACAGGTGATGAAGAGGCGTGAAACACAAAAAAAAATAACAACACCACAACACACACATCCGATTGTGCAAGGAAAAGCGCATTCTTTAGCTGTTCTCTTGTGTTAAAATGCCTGACATGACTGTTTGATGACTTGGTTTCTGAAAATAACCTTGGAGACATGAGAGAAATTATTATAAAAACATCACAACAATATTTCCAACATCAACACTAGCAAAATTAAAAGCTAGAAATGCCAGTAAATTTCAAATGTCTTGAACCGTGATGCTGACAGTAATGCCTTGTGAAATAAAGTCATATCACTTTTGTAATGTTCTTTAAAGTCATATTGCATTACAGAGTTATTATATAGTATATTTTTCATAATATTATATACACTGATGTTCAAATGTTTGGAATCACTTTTAATATTAACGCTATAATCTGATTCAGTGTCTTAAAGTGTGTACACTGAAATACTATCATTATTTATGGCCATTATTTATTTATAGTAATTTCTAAAAAGGTTATCTGCTAGAGATTTGATAATTTTCATTCAAACACAGTGCATTCTAGATGTTCATTTTATTATAACTTCATTCTCAGTGTTTTACAGCTTTCTCAGTTGTTATGGAATCAGATAGCTTACTACTATTAATTGAAGCCTTTAAAGTGTGCTGTTATGAGTTAAGAGTAGTAGCATCATAATGTGATCACTGTATACATGTATCCTCAATAAACTGGGTTTGTATTATTGGAAGCAGTGATTCCAAACTTCTGATCAGTAGTGTATAAAGTATAGCATATCATTGATGTTGGAACAAAACTCTGAAATCTCCAGGTTGCTATTGGTTCAATCAGCATAAAATCTGCACGGAATGTAAAGAGCAGCTAATGTTTTCAAATGGTTAAAAAAAAAGAAGACAAAAACAAATCTGGAGTTATGAGGTTTGGATCTGATAGAGGCAGTTTAGTACCCTGCACAAATAGTGGCACCTCTGTTAAACATAAGCAAAACAAGCTGTAAAACATTCTTCATTGCTCATCCTTTTAAACTTTTAATTTAAAATCAGACCTTTATTATTAACTACAATGATTTAAAGAAAAGACCTAAATCTGATCATTAAATAAATATTTCCTCAAATCTATGTGTGCCACAATTGTTGGCATCCCTAGCAATTCTTATGAGTGAAATGCATCTGAAGTAAATTCCTAATCATATTTTATGTTGAGCATTGAGCAATTAAGAACACTTAAATGGACGATCATGACTTTCTGTTCCACTGGGGTTTAATTATGGGGTGACACACAGGCCAAATTCCCTTAGTCATCCATCACTATAAGAAAGACCAAAGAATACAGCAACAATGCACAGCTGAACAGTTGAAAATACCAGTGTACACTATCAGGGCAATAATTAAGAGGTTTAAGGCAACTGGAGATGTTAAGAACCTGCTGCAAAGAGGATGTATGTCTATATTGACCCCACACAGAGTGACAAGGATGGACTGAGCGGCCAAAAGAATCTCCAAGAATCACAGCTAGGGAACTGCACACATTAGTTAGGCGTTGGGGTCTCCAAAACTACAATCTGATGGCACCAAGTTGTTTGGGAGGATTGCTTAGTCTCTGCTATCAAGGACCAAGAGATGGGTTTGGTATAAACACAAAGACAGCCATGCAGAAAAGTATCCCATCCCTGCTGTGAAGTATGGTGGTGGATCTGTGACACTAAGCAGCTGTTTTTCTTCCAAATGACCTGGACAACTTGTTCAGACACATGGTATTATGGACTCTAGCAGCAGATATTAAATCAAAACCTGCCTCAGCCAGAGGGTTCAAAGTGGACTGTGGACGGATCTTCCAGCAGGACAATGATCTACAACACACCTTAAAAGCAACAAATACATGATTTGCAGACCACTTGATCAAGGGTTTGCCCTGAGCTGAAGAAAGGGTCCCCAAGCATGGACCTTGAAATCTGTAGGATCTGGAGAGATGTTGTATGGAGGAATGCTCTCAGATTTGTGTGTTCTCCAGTCTCATTAGGCAGTATAGGAGAAGATTCAGAGCTGTTCTCTTTGCAAAGAGAGGCTGCACAAAGTATTAAATGAAGGGGTGCCAAATATTGTGGCCCACATAGATTTGAGAAATTGATTTTTACTGAAAGCTCAAAAGAACAAGCAATAAAGAATGTTTTTTACATTCTTGTTTTGCTCATGTTTAACAGGGTTGCCAATATTTGTGGAGGGCAGTATATTTTAGCTTCCATTAACTAATAACTGCGAAAACAGGGATCACTCACTCTGCTCCAGAGAGAGGGGTGCTGTGCTTGGAACACTCTTTGGCTGAGGCTGAACAGACGGGTGCCTACTTTCACACATTCAACACAAGCACAGCAATAAACCAATAAACATTTTTCACTTTGACGGTCATAATTTTCCTCTGAGAATAAGATTTGTTGCTGACGATAACTTATCACACTCAAAACCAGAGAAAATACTACCAATGAAGAAGCTCTTGATCTGACTGCTTGGTGTTCTTGGGAGCTGGAAAAGAGAAAGTGAGAGAGTGAAATATCACAGTCATCGACACATCAAACATAATTTGGCTGACATCAGCACTCAGTTGATAAATAAACAAAACAAGGGTGTTTTCTCCTAAAAGTCCCTAAGTTCTTTAGACACTCTCAGTGTTGGGCGATATGACAATGTTATCGATGTTGTGGTAAGTTACATTATGCTACACTTTATATCGTGGGTATCCTTAGAACTTCTAGAACACCGAACAGCCACATGTCTCATAAAAAAAGACAGATTTAGTAACTGCATAAATTGTAAAGTAACAAGGAACTGACTGGACGTCAGGCTATTATGCTGCTATTTCATTTTATTTATTTTTGCCTTTTACCAGTTATTAGATTTTCCTCCTGCCTCTTCCTAAATAGAACATTTTGCAAAGGTTTCATAAGGTGAACCTTTGAAAATGTACATATCAAATGATGCAATAAGAGGCCAATAATATCAATATAGAGCTCTAAAAAGACTGTTCTTATAAAGAAAAACAAATGTTTGTTAAAAGTGACATTTACATGGTGAAAAAGCCACAACAAGGATCTTGGGACAAGTCAAAGCCAAACTCTGCCTTGAAGACAACATTTATCTCAACAATCTCAAGAGACTTGAGAGATGTGCAGATATGAAATTTGGCATCAGATCAGTTGAAGCACTTCCTGCCCCTACTTGTCACACACTCTATCAAACAGCATATAGGACACTCCTTTCTGAAGAGTCCCTCTACTCTCTTTCACACTTCTTTGCACAGTGATAACTGTACTAAAGTTGAGTAAAGTTGACCAGACACTCTAAAGGTGAAATATTTAGACACAGGTGAAAGTGACACTCCAGAACACAATGTAAGTGTCTCGTCTTTAATCATCTGAAGTACTGAAACCAATGTGAGCAAATATCTGTAAACAATATTGGTTAATGGTGAAGTGGCAGCAAGTAAAATACACTGTACTTTTAGTGGTATGCTAAAGTTTAAACCCCTCGGTCAAATTACGTTTGTTGATTCTCTAAGTGAAAATAAGTTAGCATCCTCTACAGGGAGCAAAGTTAAATATGGCATTTTCCTGCATGTTTAGCACACAGTTTCAATTTACTTAATGAGGTTAACATATTGAGAAAGGTTTTGTGTCATAACTTTTGCACAGACCACATTTTATGTTTCATTTTCAACCCATTATGTTAAAATCAGCAAATAAACACTAATCGTGCATTAAAATTTGCAGAGGTTTGGCTGCCCAAACTTTTGAATATGACTGTAGTAGCTAACTTTTCTTGAGGATCCACTTCACTTGGATAGTTTTTTTTGATATTTTCTTCTTTTTCTCAAAATACATTCAGTTGCATGTCACAGAAAAAAAAATAGTGAGGAAATATTTTGCTTTTCAAATGTTTAAAGAGTTTGTTTGAATGATCTTGCACATAGCTGAGAAGAGCTGTTGCATTCTAACTGAAATGATTACAATTATCAAAAACACATAAGCCATGTATAAGGATTACAATTACTTTTAAAAACACAATGCAATGCTTGAGTACGTCAATATTTCAGAATTTTGAAAAGTCACTAAGAACTTTCTAACTTCTTTCAGTTCTTTGGCTTCACCTCATGATTTATGTACATGTTTTTTACATCACTGCACATTTCAGGACATGTATTTACCTGTTCTTGCAAAACAATACTTATACTTGCCTCATTTGAACTGGTAGTGATGATAATAATTAGATGACTAATATACCAAAACAGATTTCTAGCAGAACTGTATCATACAATCATCTACATACACAGTACATGATATCATTGGTAAACTTGAACTTTTTTTTAGGTTGCTTTACAAAACGTTTAACAAAGTTATATTCAATTTGGGAGCCACTGGCATGTACTGTGGCTGTTAAAATAACACCTTACTATATCTTTAAAATAGTAACTTTAAGAGAAGTAACTTTTAATATAAGTTACAGTAAATTCAATAATTTGGTAATTCAATTTGATTTTGATAGTTTGGTAATTAATCTCTGTTGGTCCATTCATCATAAATTTCCACATAATGTACAGGTAGCTGGCATGTTCAATGATATAAAAATGGAGAGGTTTTGATCAGACTGCGGTTACATATGTAAGATATACATATATGCTACATATACTTTTACTGAAACACAGACAATGAACCAAGATTTTTTTTGAAGAACAAAACATTTATTTAGCTCAAAAAATGACTGCATACTTTATTATACTATATTGTAATTGATTCCATTATGTCTAACATTATATAGCTTTTCTTTGTTCCCTGACAGATTTACCCCAAAACAGTATAAATGTCATGTTAAATCTATAACACAGTCAGAGACAGAAAGAGTTGCTGCACTTACATGAAAATGAATGAGACATGTGGTACTGCAGCCCATGATGAAGGCTTTGATTTTCCCAGCATCCAGCATCCAGTGGGCCCTGACTGCAGCAAGAAGGCCTGTGTGAAGGGCATGGGCATGGGGGTGGGTAGTAGCCGTGCTGGGCTAATGCAGTAGGAATGGAGTGCAGTGAGCGGGGCTGTTCAAGACTGCTCCCACCTGGACTGTGTCTGCCTGGCAGAGAGTGCGAACAAGAGGCCTCACTCTGATAGCCACAGAAATCTCCAGATACTAGGCAGGACAGATGGCTGCCATTGGAGAATCCTCTCACCAGGCTGTTGTATGAGCTTGTGTGCAGCCAGTCCTCTTTGTGGGGCTCCAGGGTACTGAAACAGCCCTCAGCCTGGCTGGGGAAGGGCGTCTGGGGGCTGTAGCCAGCTGGGAGACCCAGGGGAGGCTGATAGGGACTGTAGCTGGACTGGGCGTCACTGCTCATGCTGCTGCAGAAGTCAGAGAAAGCCGCCGATGTGCTTTGAGAGAGCTCGTTGATAGGCAACATGGGGTCAGCAGGTAAACGCTGGGGGTCAGCCTGACGTCTAACACTGCTGGCCTCAGAAACAGAAGCTGCGTCTGGAAGGGTGTCCTCAGCTTCGGTTTTACTCATAGTTTCGTCGTTCTCTTCTGGCAAGTTGAGTGACTGAAAATTACAGCTGACAGATCGGGAAACATTACTTGCAAGAACTGGCAAGAAAAATGCACAAAGCACAATCAATGAACACAACTGAAAAAAAGCATTCACTTCAGCTGAGGCCACAGGGACCTGTAATGGATGTAAACAGCACAGTATGTTGTTTTTTACCCAATTTTCTCCCTCAATTTACTCTTTGCAAATTCCACCCACTAGCTAGGTCTCCCTTCATCACATAATGCCACTAAACAGGACACGTGTGGCACCACTGCATCTTTTCGAACTGGACAGCTCATCATGCTTGATGCAGAATGCTGCCAATTCTGTCAGCAGACAGATACCTGCATTGGCTACCACTGGGCTAAGTGAGTGGGAGAGGGAGGACCATCCTACCCACCCAGACAGAGCCCACTGATGGCTGTGACACTGCGAGGAATCAAATTTTCAAATTGATGATGCTTAATATACTATGTTCATGAGCTAAAATTGTAGTCCATGTTGGGTTTCACCTCTGATTGTTTGTTACATTAGTAAAATGCCATGCTTTAAAATGCTTACAAACGTCCACACTAATACTAGCGTGATGATGTGCTATAACCCGTATCAACAACAATGCTAAAAAGCAAGCTGAACTATGGTCTGACTAAATCATTGGATTATACCTGTATGATGGTGAGGATGAATTGTGAAGACTGCACAACATCATTCTTTCAGTTACAAAATGACTGAAGCCATCTCAAGGCCCCAGCTGGTCGACAGACCTGCAAGTTAACAGGCAAGAAATACTGAAAAAGCACATTAATACCACTGCCCATAATCTTAATTGCAACATTGGCCTTTGCAGTGCTGATATGAGCATTCTAACATTTTCTAATTGTGAAAATTCTGGCCAAATGCTACTCATGTTTTGTGGGTTTTATGACAAATCAATGTGAAACTTCTCTAACATTTACGTTTGTTGCTCCTTGTGCTAATGCAGACCGGTTATTAAGACAGATCAATTATTAAATATTGTGTTAATCCATGTTTCATATGCCTTATCTCACAAAACATAATCATACACTCACATAACACAATCACAACTGCAGTCTTAGTCCACATCATGTTACTTAAAAGCAGTAAACGGCAACATAAAGAGTATCAGTGGAATTTTTGCAACAACAGAGCAGAGCAAAGCATTCATCAGTGGAGTAAGTTAAAGCTGATGAGTGAGAGGTACTGAGGGGGTTTTTCTTGAGCTCTGTTTGTAGTGTATTATTACAGTTCACAACACCAGGGGAAACTACATTGATCCTGTGGAAACTCAGTTGTGACATTATGCTACATAAGTGTGGCTGTCAGCTACAGAACCAGAGCAATAACACAGAACAGGTTTAGTTGGAGACAAAGCCGAGGCCAACTTAATCATCTGAGTTCCTGAAGGTTCTATGGCCTTCGGTAAAGAATATGTTTGGGCGCGTGAGAAAAAGGGAGTATAGAAAAGGGGAGAATGAGAGGGCAAAAAAGAGAGAGAGACAGAGAGAGAAAGAAATACACAGCTGAGTATCGAAACTCAATAGCTTTAAGATACTCCAAGTTTCAACACCTGACCAGTCAGTGTTATGAGATAATGAGCATGTTTGTTCCAAAATCTCGACTGTGATTGGCTGCGTAGTAATGCATCAAATATTCTACTAGCCTAAAGGGATTTTTATTTCTAGCTTACTGTTTTACTCATTTTGGAATAAAGATTTCATACTACAAAATACCACATGGAACTAGGTAGTAATCATGAAAAAAAAAAAAATTCTTATATTTTTGTCATAACACTCATCAATCTCTTCCTTGCAGGGCTGCTGAAAACTATTTATTGGGGGTCAAACCAAAAAGAAAATCATTTTACATGTTCACAGTTGTTTAACTTTTAAAGCATTTAAGCATATGCATGTCGCTGCTGTCAGAATGAAACCTTGTATCTCCATTTTTGACTTTTTTCAGTTTTTGACATTATTCGAAAATACCTGTTGCCCTTTAGATTGTGTGTAAATGTCATGATGAATGGACCAAAACAAATGGCCTAAAATGACTTGGAAACATGTCTGGTTCCATTGACTTACATTAAAAGTGAAGTATGTTTTTCCTTCTCCTGTAAAGTTACCATTTTGGAGATACAAGGTTTTCAACAGTGATATAGTTCAAAGTGTTCATAGTTCAGGAATTGGTACTGAATAAAGATATAAGTGTTTGGATCAGTACAGATACCTTAACCTAGTAATGATTTAAAGGGGAATTTCACCAACTTTTCAAAATTTCTAAAAAAAATTAAATCATTGAAATGTAAACTAAGTCATTCACAGTGAAGTGGTTTGAAGGAGAGAAGAGTAGATTAGATTTCTTCACAGTGGTGGTAAAAAAAGAACCTAATGTTTTTTAGGCTAATCTAACCATTATTTTTACAACCCGAACAAACATGAGCTCTCCTGAAGTTTTATCCCTTTATTTGTAAGATTAAGAATGGTAGCCCAGTGGCAAATCTGAACAAAATTCAGTTTTCTTTGGGGACCATTTTGCCCTGCAGGTACCTCTCCACTATGAATATTTCACAAATATGCTTTAGGCCAAAAACTTTCACCTCTACTGTGAACAGTTCTAACTCGGTGTCTCTAGAATGGAGTATTTCACATCAAACCACTCTGAATGACTTTATTTACATCTTAACCATTTACTAATGCAGAAAGAGCTGAAAACATTAACATTACATCAATAATGTGTATTTGACACATAAGACTGGTATGATTTCATACTAGTATGTACCATAAGCAGAAAATCCAGCTGTCTGACCAACACAAACCCCGTAGAGAAAACAAGCTTTAGTGCAGCTAGTTAAAACTTCCACCTGTCAGCTCTGGGATTTCCACACACGACACGTGAGGCCACATTCTGACAGCAAGAGCTAAAAGCTAAAACTACAGGCTCGAGCCGACTGTCTGAAAACACACTCACTTTAACTTTGTATCTGCGGGCACCTTCACCTGAGCTCCATTTAGACCAGATGTATCTGAGGAAAAAGCACAAGAGAGAGAACGAGGGATAAAATGTTAGGTTTTTAGAGAGATATTTGTATATTGATAAGGAGCTAGACCAGAAAACCAAGACATGTCACTTCACAGAAATCACAGTAATCGCCATTAACGTTGTAATTTTCCTGACACTAACAATCGCCTAATTTAAAGACAAAAACAAAGAGGCAGGCCAGGACACGCTAGTGAACTTAAATGGGCGAACTTACCTCGCAGTTCAGCCAGCCAAGTTACATTAACGAAGGAGAGTTCGACCCTTTTTTAAACGCCAATCTCCGACAAGGAAATCGTGACTAAATCTGAGGCTACAGGTCGATGTTTTTGAAAGCTAAGCTAAGCTCCACAGGTGTCCAGTAGCCGCAGCTCTACTGGAGGTTTAGCCCTGTGTGCTTTCAGTAAGTGCTCTCTGTAGGTCGGCCCGCCTACTTTTCTCACAAAAAGTCCCCCGTAGCAGGGCTCGGAGTACAGCTCAGGACGCTCTTCTAGACTTTCAATAAGGCAGTTTCACTTTTACCGCCGTCTCGCACCCAGTGATGGGCTTTTATAAGAGATTTTACTTCAGGTGTTTCACAATAACACATGAACCAGGAGCAGCAGCTGCACTGAAAGCTGTTGAATAGCAGCAACCGTGAAGAAGCATTACAAGCCCTGAGGCCCACTGTCTCTTTACAACCTCCCTGTACAAACACATCACAGGGCCTGGCACCTTTCAGATAGCATGAATGGAAAGTCTGTCAGGTACTAGGCTGAAGAAAATATATATATAAAAATACTTTCCTGTCTTGGTAAAACAAAATAAAACGAACATGAACTCAAGAAGGCCACACAGGAGTCTGAGGGAAAAATGCAGAATTTCTCAGATTAATGGCAGTAAGATTGTAAAATGAAGATGCTGATGTGCATTTGCATGTATGAGTGACAGCTTTGAGGTTTAACAGTTACCACAAGTCAGGAAGGAGAAAAAGGTCAAAGAAAACATTTCTTGACAGCAATTGTAGTGTTTGTAAGTCCAAACAGGAATCTACTGCCACGGTAATAATGTGCAGGGGCACTAATTCACATTTACAGAGCTTTTTGGTGACTGTGTTAGGCATTGCAAAATGAAGCCACATAAACCATTTTCATTTACATCTATCTTTAAGTCTAATTTGCAAGATGCTCGTTTTCTTCCAGAGCTCCTTATCTCAGAGCAGATACACGGTGAACTCACTGCCTGTAACGCCAGCAGCCACAGACGTGTTAAAATATTCCGGAAATACACAGAAAGGTGTGAGATCATATAAACCAGATCCTTTACAGTATTCCTACTCTCACCGTCCTGGCATAAGAAAATTAATATCTGTGCAAAAGCAGTACGTTACACATTGATTGTCCAGTGGAGGAAGATCTGCACCAATAATGAGTACCAGTGAAAAACAAATACAAATATTTATCATTCCAATAAGTATCTGATTTTATTTGCACAAGTCTTACAAAGATAATTAATGCAGTGGCAAACCACAGATTTTCTTAAAGGAGATATTGGAGAAATTTGAACAAGACTACATCATTTCAAACGATGGATATATTTTGAAGCATTGACTTTTCTTTGGTTGGCAAAGCAAGACTCCAGCCATTTCTTCTTAACAAGAAGCGCCTTAGGATATTGCTTCATCAAGTCCTGTAATTCCTGTAAGGAGAGCAAACAAATGGATCAGCACAGTAAAACAGCCGTTTAACACATACTTAAAGTTACACTATATAAATTTTGGGGATTTCTCTGATGGAAATGTGAAATTGCATGCAACAGATCATTTTGTAATGTCGGTTGTGCTTCGGACCCCTCCCCCAAGCAGATGAATCTGATGATTGAGGATATGAGTGAATTTTCAACTTTTTCTATTATCTTCTAATCTTCATCAGTATAATGCTGATTTTGTATCTGAGACCAAAACATTCAACCGGACCTCCTTTTTGAGCCTGTTTGTGTGACGTGATATGTAAGCATGTATGACGTGGTCCGAAAAACTCCCTAGCCCAGTGAAACCCTAGCCGACACCTTTGACTTTTAAAATGTCCATTTCAGGCTTTACAGGATGACTTGAAGAAGATCATGGAGACCATATTTAACCACGTTTTCTTCACTGATCAGTACTCTTGTTTGCATGGCTTTATATGACGTACCTGTATATGAACTGGACTGTCCACTTCTGCTACAACGTGAGTAACCTGTGAGTTCATAATGTCCTCTTCATCACCATCATACGTACATCATACGTTAAGGAAAACATCTGAAATGAGAAGCTGGTTTTGTTGTCTAAATGACATGCGCTAGACCAGCTGTCTAAATTTTACCCACAATGAGTAAACCAGTGGTGTTTGTTTGGCAGGAACAAAGCCTGAAAAAAATTTTGTAATATTTTTGTGCACCACTAGAGTCTCATGACTAAATACTTGTATAGCTGCCTGGATAAAAATAGCAAAGTAATAAAAATAAATGACATCATATTTTTGAGCGTAGCATACTGACTGCAAGGTGCAAGTGTATTCATGTTTATTACAGCGGCTGCATCAAACAGTCACAACATAATGCCAAATAATGGCCAATGAGAATACAATCGTAATAATCATAAAATAGTAATGATAGCCATTAATGTCCACTTGCTGAAAATTGGTCAGTAATTAGGCTAGCACTGGCATTAACTTTGTTTAAGTAGTACTTAAGGGGTATCTAAATCTACAACAGCAGCCTCATAAAACACAAGTTAAAAGATTTAATGGCAAGTTAAGGATTTCCAAAACTTGGAAATGCAGTAAACCATTCCTGATAAAAAAAAGCTGTCATAACTTACATCTGAAGAAAGTCTGAAGAAAACCTTTTATCTCCAAAATGGTAACTTTACAGTAGACAAAGGAACTTTGAATTAAAAGTTAATTTAACAACTTTTTTTTTTAAGTAATGTTGGACCATTTCTTTTAGATCATTCATCATGGCAGTTTAACACAATGAAAGATACAAGGTTTTTGCATGACAACATGGCTAATCAGTACTTCATTAAGTTAAATCAGGTGGGCTGGTGATGGACTTCGTTGGGGGGCACCAAGATATTAAGTAAGAAATTAACTACTTTTTAAAAACAAGAAATTCTAGTTACATTTTACTGCATTTATGTCTATTTTCATTTATTACTAATTATATATGGCATATTTACAAGCACACTTATAATCAAGATAAATTGTTTTAAATAATGTGCATAAGCACCTAAGATGTTTGCACAGTATTGTGCATATAGTATATGTATAAATTAAGCTTAGGAGTTATTATTATTATTATTATATATTCACCAATCACTATGAAACATATTTGTAGGTTATATAGTTATGAGAGTGAAGAACTGAAGCGGTGGCTGACATACAGGCCCTTCAGGTTTAAGGGGTTAAATTAAGAGCTGCCTTTCTGCCTCAGGAGCTGTGTGAAGTGACAAATTTGATAGACCAGGAAATGTGTGTTCCATGACAGGAGAACTGTTAATTACCTGTTCTAGTGCATTACGCAAAGACAGAACAGACTGGTCTCATGCCATAGCTTAGCTATAGTCTTTGAAATAAAGAGAAAGTAACTGGTAAATATGTTCTTACTAAATAAGGGCGTATCACAACGCCTTTACCGGCACATGCCTATGGCGTGCTTCAGAATGATTTCTCAATAAAAAATAAACACAGGGACAAAGACAATAGAAAAACAAAGAAACAAAAGGCTGATCTATTGAGTCAGCATAGCGGAGAGCAGAGATCAAAGGATATGTGACGAGGTAGCGCGTGAGTTTCTTTTTTTCTGTGGCACCCATATTGTAAAAGAAAATATGGACACCTCTCATGAAATCAGCCAGGCCAAAAGCTTCTTCACCCTGGGCTGAAGTACTAGGGCCCTCTCGGCACTCATCTCCAGAACCAGTAGGACTTAGGGAGCAGGAGGAACGTGGAGAAGTTGATGCTGGACGGGCTGATGCCGAGCATGAAGTAGATGAACCTGCAGTGCTTGTGGAAGAGGCCTTTATGGTAGAATGTGAGGTTGTTCGCTTGTAGTAGTATCTAACAGTCATGTTAAGGATGTTCACATACGGTTTCATTTCATCTCAGAGAAATAGTGGGGTTATGATTATCACCACTTAAAGGAAACTGTGAGCAACTATTAACCAATCAGAGTCCCACTTCACTTCATGCCTGAGCTACAGCTTGAAATATTTGTCTGAACCCAAAAGGACCCAACTATTCATGTCAAGTTTGGACATAATTTCTCAAACATTTGTTGAGCTGGGGTCAGGTTCAAATTTGACATTTGGGTATCTCAAAGCCTGACCACCACCTTTAACTGATTTTGGTCTGTTTACCCCTCTTTATTTTTTTTGCCTACTTTATTCTTCCACTCTATTTTTATCAGTTCAAACAATTTAATCTGACATGCTAGAGTCACTCATATTTTGGCAGGGAGATCTACCGAGGCCAGCATGAAAACAACATACAAGCATATGTAAGTTGTTTTTTTGAAAAAACTGATTGATGACGGATACAATTTCTGTTAATGTGGAAATTAACCTTAATTTTGTATAGAGGATAAACAGGATTTTTTTCTTTACAACTTGCTGATGATATAATGACAGTTTTCACTCTTGCTAGGCCATTTGTGTTTGGTCTCCGATTGGATGTCGGGTCTCACACGAGTTAAGAATTACAATTTTTGGGTTCAGATCCAAAACATGATACAGTGGACTGAGTCAAACTGGACTCATGCATAATGCTCTAAAGCTAAATTTGGGTTTGGACCAAGATTTCAGCCTCTATTAAAGCTCTCACCTGTGAAATGGTTTTGTGTACCCATGATGCAAATTTACACCAGTAAATATTCCTCCTGTAGATTTTCTTCATTTGTGTGACCTACAGACCTCTACCAGGATACATGAAGGTGGGAACGCCTCGGGAGGCCAGGTGTTTGCGGATCAATCTCTCAGTTCCATACCAGTTAAAGCCTTTGGTGGAGTGGCCAATTCGCGGAAGATGGACACTAGCTGGTGGTACAGAATAACAAATATTAAAAAAAGGTTTAATATTAATTGGCTTTTCTTTCAAGGAAAGGTAACAATAGAAAAGAACATTTAGAAAATCTAGATTAAGAAGTGTAAGGAGAAACAATCTACAAAACATAACATGAAAACAAACAATTATAACTGTGAAGTAGGGAATGAACTGTTTGTGAATTATTACAATATTTGACAGAAGGATACAACATATAAATGAACAATAAAAGTAAATAACTTTGTAAAAATCAGATCACTCTTTCACCATAACACATGAAGTATTTAAAATGTTAGGCATCTGTTAGCAACACGATATAAATATGATATTTTGTGCATTCCTCTTCAACACAGGCTTGAGGCAAGGACGCATGATAGAGCAAGACTACACAATCACAAGGAATTTGGTTATTTGATTTCCCTGATAGAGGTTTATGGTTTTAACCACCCCTCACATTAGTAAGAAGGGGAGAGTCAACTCTTATTAATAATAGCAAGGAGGCATATTCGGGTTTATTACATATTACAGGTTTGTTTATACAGGTCTGACTATGAACACAGTTCCAAAAAGACCACCATATGCTACTGTGTGTTCAAGCTTTGCTTTTGGGATGTCAGCACTGGAATTACATCACAAAGAGAAAGACATGCCAAAAAATCCTTCGACAAGATGCCCTGTACACATTTTTCCTCATAAAACATTTTATTCATGTTACTTCACCTTGCTGAGACACTTCAGAAAAGCTTTAAACAGTTCAAATATTATTTAAAAACTTTTTAAAACTTGTTATAGGCCAGCTAAAATAAATAGTCTTTAATTTCATGGCTGTGACTTTCCACATACATTATCTTTTCTTACCTACTTATCTTGCTAGTCTCAGTTAAATTTTTTTTTTAACATTAAAACTGTCCATTTTACTTCACCAAGTAAATTTACTGCTTAGGGTATTACTGTACCAATACTAACTAGCTAATGATTCATGCATTAGTGATCAGAATAGTGCATGACGCAACATGAAAACCCACAAATTGCAGGATGATTACAATTTGTGTTCACAGGAAATTCCCTGAAAGAACTACACCTTTTTCTCCCTCCCAAATCTTCATCATCATTGTCATCAGCAGCATTCATATCCTCACTCTTGCTTCTAGCTCTGGCATATGTCGAATACCCTCAGATTAAATGCAACCAAAGCGAGTGATGTTTACCTTTCTTTTGCTTGGCAGCCCTGTATATCTTCTTAAGGCCCTCCTCTAAGGCAGTGAGGCGGATGCCTGACGGGTTGTTGGCTTTATCTCTCTGCTGGGCAACGATGAGTGCCAGCTGCAGCAAGAGAAAGCAACAGTGAGTGACTGACAATCTTCTAGTATTGCGTTGATGACACTGTGATTTATGGACATTCAAGCAGCCTAGAACAAACTCATGCAAAGAGAGAGAGAGAGAGAGAAAAGAGGGACAGACAACTTGAATCAAAAACATAGGAGACAGAAAAGAGAATGTGAGAGAGAGTGTGAGTGATATCAGGCTGACTTACATGGTCACGTCCACTCAGTCTTGACTGCTTGTCATCAATGGGAAATAGCAGCACATTCCCAAGATCCAAGTCTAAAATAGAGCTAAAGCTCCATCAATCATGAAAACAGCTATTAAAACACTTGCTACAATGGTGAATGAGCTGGGTTGGCTGATGTATCTGGACAGTTTCCCACCTTCCATGTCCCCTGCCAATTCATATTGTTTCTTCGCCTCATCTGATCGGACCTCCAAAGCTGTAAAAAGCCCACCTCGGCCCCACCGTCCAGCGTCATCTACAAAGAAATTTATAAGTTTACATTACCGCATAAATTTGTTATTATAATTTTTAGGATATACCAAATTTTAAAAAAAATGTACTAACTAATGCCTTTACCTTGTTCAATTTCCGCTGGATCATCATGCATGTGAAGAGGCTGTCATTACTAATCTGTTTAAATGTCATGTATCAGATGAATGCATACATACCAACACAATGAACAATAATGGCATCTTCCCGGTCAGCCTGAGGATGGGTAACATCGCCCAGTATGTATCGAATGGCTGTGTGCTCTGAGTCTGTAGAGTTCACACTGCTGTCATCACCTTCGTCTTCATCCACATCCTCACCCTCGCTATCAGCAGAGGGCAAGCACAAGGATTTATACCCGCATGAGGCCCACCATGCCGTCCTGTCACAGATACAGACCCTTTTAAAGTTTAAAATATAAAAATATCTTGAACCATTTCCCTTTCCCTCTGATGTAACTCAATGAGCTATTCCTTGGCCGTGGCAAATAAGTGACAAAGAATTTGTATTAGTGGTTAGATAGCAAAAGCATAAGGACTTCAAGGAATAAAGGAATACTTCACCCAATCCACAAAGGACATTAAATAGAGCTATGAAATGACTAAAGCTTGGAAGAAAGACCATAACTGAAATTCCTCTCTCCTATTTAACTTATTATATATTTCCATCTTGCCCTATTTTTCACTGTGATGAAGTTTTCACACTCCACCACCTTTCCATCACCTGCTTATTCCTTGACCTCTACACCATCTCTCAGTCCTTTATGGGGAATCTGGTCTTCTAGCATAAAGCAGAAGCCACACAGAATTTCAGTCCTACATTCGAAATATCACTGGTTATACTACAACCATAGATTGACGCTACGGCCCAATTTTGAAAATGTAAAACTAAAGGTAACCTGTTATCATATTCTTATATGCATAAAGCTAAAAACATAAGGATAATTGAGGGAAATACTTCTTCGACCAGGGCTACCAGTTTCTTACTTCTTCTTGTATTTTTGTTCTTCCCGTTGCCTCCTCTTCTCTTCCTGTAGCTTGGCTCTCTTAGCAGCAGCTTCCTGTCTCTTCTGACGCCTCTGCTCCAGCTCAGACTCCGTCAGAGGCCTCTTTCTTTTTGCTGGGGTAGCCAGGGGCCCAGACAAAACAATCTACAAACCGACATAAATGTTAGATTACGTGCCACGCTGTTGTGTTCTATCTTGTTCCAATACATAATTATAAATAATGATTTTTTCAGTTCTAGAGCCTGTACATGTGTACAACTGTTACCAAAGCCTACTGCAGTCCGTTTATTAGAATGCCTTATCCACTACAATGGAGAATGTGCAGCACCTTTGTTAGTTAGTAAGATAGAATAGAAAATCATGGTCTAAATGAAAGCAAGGTTAAAGACATGGCCATTGTTCACATATTTGTGTATTAGCACAGCTGCATTATTGACAAGAGGACTACAGTTTGACTTTAAGGTAGTTTTAACTTTGCAGACACCATCATAGTGGTTGAAATTTGCATAAAACCTCTGACTTGCATATCACTTTTGGAACAAAACCTTGCATCTCCAGAAAGTTCAGGCCGCAATGATATGCATATCGATATGCATATTGTTGCTGTCTCTCCACAATAATAACTTTACAGGAGAAGGCAAAAACTTAATGCAAGTCAGTGTAAAAAGATTTTATTTAAAGTGAGTTTGGAGCATGTCTATTAGGTCTATTGAAAACAACGGAGATACATTTTTTTGGACAGTGTAATGTATCTTCTTGTTGTTCTGAGATGTTCTGAGATGGAATTCATGTTATTACTCCTCCAATTCAATGCAGAAAGTGAGTAAAGAAAGACAGAAAAGGAAAAAAGAAAAAAAACAAAGCTGTTTTGAGATAGAATTCATGTTATTACTACTCCAACTCACCTTCTCCAATATAAAACAGATATAAAACTTGCTTCACTCTATGCAGCTCAGACACTACCCAATTCACAAAAGCTTTAGTGATCACATTGTCTGAGCACATAATCTGAACGAACATGAAAGGAATATAATGAGAACAGTCAAAAAGAAACCATGGTGAGCAGATGGTGTTTCTGGATGATTTTTATCCTAATGATGAATCAAAATGTTTAAAATTAAGGTTTTTACATTTACATTCATAAGTTAATTCAAGAGTTAATGAAAGTATGGCTAGCAAGAGTATATATATATATATATATATATATATATATATATATATATATATATATATATATTGTATCTCCATTAGAGATGAAACGATATTAAAATTTCATATCACGATTATCATGACCAAAATTATCACGATTATCGGTATTATCGCAATATTGTTCAAATGTTTTGAAAAGTAAAATAAATAAAAAAATAAATACTGACACACAAACTGAAACTCGTTTCACCAAATTTTATTTTAATAAGGTCAATACATTTTTAGTATTACTTCTGTATTACTTACAATACTTGTAATACTCTGTAAACAAAAGAATAGCAAATGTATTATTATTACAGTTATTATTATTATTATTATTATTACTGTTATTATTATTATTATTATTATTATTATTAATTACAATAACTAGGGATTTCCCTGCATAGAGAATTAAATCTCGACCAACTCTGAGGTGGGTCTTAATGGAAAATTACTACTTCTAAGAAGTGTTGCACTCGGGGGATTTCTGTCCGAACTGCAACTGCAGCATTATTGTGCCATTGTGGCGCTGAACCCCTAATCAATACAGTGCACTAGGAAAAACAGCCAAAATCACAGAGGAACTGCGTGACCGCGCTGTGAGCTGCAGACAGTGTAGAACTCACACAGTGTGTCTTCACCTGTGGAGCTGCTTCTCTAAAAGCATTAAAAACTAAAACATAACTTAAAATTAACGCGCATCTGAGCTGCAGCAGAAACACTCCTGAAGTTTAATCTCTGAAACTTTTCCTAAAAGCAGCACGCAGCATTTACTCGCGCGAGGTCCCGTCTCAAAGCACACTATCTTCCCTATGTAGTGCACTTCGTGGATCATGAAATAGCAAATCCTTCACCCAAAGAGTGCAAGAAATGTTCGACTAAGTCATCTATAATCAACATTAACAATAGGTTACAAATTCCCTATTTAAAACTCAACTGCTTGTTAATGATGATCGTGTTTGTTTGAACAGTAGCGCTCTACGTAGGGGACACTGAGTGATTTGAGACGGTGTTATTCTCAGACAGTACACACTGCAAGCGAGACGAGAAAGTGGAGCTGTGCAGATTGAACCTCTGCAGCGTCCCGTTCCAGAGCTCGTGTGACTGTTAACTCAGAGCTCATTTTGGAGACTCTGCTCCACAGAAATGTGTTAAAAGCTTTAGTTTCGATTCACAGTTGATTCACCGCTTGTTTTTTTGTTTGTTTTTCTTTTTTTTGACGCTAAAAGCTTCATTTTATATGATTAACGAACCATAAGCATAGGTTAAAGCACACAAACCGTGACATTTCTTCTATTTCGAAGTCCCCACAGACTTCTACGTTAAAGTTAACCTTGCATTCTCTAAAAAGTAGCGGGTGGTGGTCGCGAAATGACTCGTAAAATTTGATGTGCTGCCCCCTTTCGCCGCTATTTTCTTTCGGCATGTTCTGCAGACAGGGTGGTCATCTTCAATTAACTTTCCTTCTGCATCCTTATAAAACCCAAAATATGACCAAACGTCAGACTTGGTCTTCTTAGAAGGCTGAAATATCTCTGAGTTTTCACACCGCGGTAATCGACCGCGGTTTTAAAGATACTTTAAAATTCAAACGGTACTACTAACCGTCATTAATTTTACCGCGGTTTACCGTGAAACCGGTAACCGTTTCATCTCTAATCTCCATTTTTGTAATTTTTCAGTTTTTTAACATAATTTGAAAATGTCTGTGGCCCCTCACATTGTGTGTAAATTTCATGATGAATGGACAATGTCTGGTTACACTGACTAGCAATAAAAGTAAAGTAAGTTTTTTCCTTCTCCTTTTTGGACATTCTGACAGCAGCTATATATATATATATATATATATATATATATATATATATATATATATATATATATATACTCTTATTATACTCTTATATATATATATATATATATATATATATATATATACTCTTGCTAGCCATACTTTCATTAACTTGCAAGTCTATATATAATAACAATAACTTACTCCGGTTTTGTGGCGCAGTGTACGGCCCTCTTTGCCGATATCCTCTAGTTGGGCTAACTGTTCCTCCAGCAGAAGCTCAAATGTTTTCTGGTCCTCTGTGCTGGGGTCTTTGGAGTAGTCCCTCCCTTCAAAGTAGTACATGTGGTCTGGGGAAGAAAAAAAATGGTATGTCAATCTTTTTGACATTGACAAAATAGCTAAACAAGAACTTAAATAAGTCAGCCATGAGTCATGGTGTCCTACGCTGTCCCTCATCTTCATCCTCATCTTCATCTTCCTTATTTGGCCTCACAAGTTCTTCATCCATCAACCAGTGCCCTTTCCGAGACGGGCCCAGAATCAGTTTAAGGTCCACATCCTGAATTGAACTCTCCTCTGTCGACAGTAGATTATCCACTCCAAACTTTAGAATCTCGCTCAGCTGCAGGCATGGGAACATACACTGAGTTACAGTTTATTAAGTACACCTACCATGTACCTACAACCATTTTGTAGGCTTAAAATGACTGACTGTAGCCCATTAGTTACTGCACAATCTGTCAGGACCCCTCTACCCTGTACAACAAAGGAAAAAGACCACCATAAGACCACTGCTGAACAGATATTATTTGGGTGGTTGACCATTATAGCAGTGATACGCATTAGTGGGTGTTGCAATAGTAATAATTTATATTTAGCAGTGGTCATGCGGTCAGAAAATGACCACTGGCTATAAGGTGACTGACATAGAGAATGACTACAGTCTCAACCTTTGCACATATAAGGTGTCCCAACAAAGGCAGCATGGCTTTACACTGCACACAAAATGCTTGCACTTGCTTTCTTTTTTTACAAAGACTTTGTGTTAATTAAATAAAAAAATACAGGAACACAAATGAAAAGAAAGAAACTACAAGAAACATACCTACATTTTGAATGACTGAAAACGTTCAGATAATCCATAATGGCTTGGGCGATGTAGGAAAAATCTAACTGCTAACATTAAACATCTCTGGCTGATGGGACAAATAAAGTAAAAAGAGTTAAAAGTTCATATTAAGTTCACTGTTTTTTTCGTGTGCTTCTATTTATTTCAAATCAGAAGCAACAGTGCTCCTTGGCAAAAAGCTTACCGCAGAACTCTGGGTAGGTGTGTCTAACAAAAGGAGATGTGGAGAGGAGGGAAGAAAAAAAAATGGGATGTTCACATGGAGAAGAGGCCAAGAAAGTGACCCAAACCTAGAAAAGCAAAAGTGCAGGGAGAAGAAATGGTGAAAGAGAGAGAAGTGAAATAGAAAGCTGGTAGAGAGGCACCTGCAGGGCAGAAGCAGCGGCCTGAGGCTGCTCCAGCAGAGAGAAGCGGCCCTCTTCGATCACTGCGCTGGTGAGACGCAGTTTCGATACGGCGCGTGAGTAAATGATCTCCTCCACCGTGTCCCTACCCAGGAGCCGGATCACTTTCACAGCCCTAGAGATTTCATCAGGTAAATGAATGTTAATGTGTGACCAAAAGAAAACAGGGAATAAAATGCTTTCTTTGTAACAAAGCTCTTCATATTTTCGGTATCTGAATCACGTTCAGGTTGTCGTTGTCATTATTTTAGATTAGATACTGTTCATGCTGACGTTCTTTCTGCATTAAGTATGCAGAAATGTTACACAGACATCTCTGAGCAAGGCCTTTAACCCCTTAAACTTATGGCTTATTATGCAATTTTTAGTCTTAAGTTGCAGGTTATGAAGTAATGAAATTGAATGGAACTGAATTGTAGGCCCACATAATAGGGTGTAAGGAGTTAATAAACAGAAACAGCAATAATAAACAAATGTTTTTTGGAGTTTGAAAAGTTTTTGGATGCTGTTAAATATAGCAAACCTGGTAAAAATGGTTCGTATTAGATTTGGCAATATTCGAAAAGACAGAATATCTGGTGCATTGACTTGAGAATAGTAACATAAGAAAACTTTAATACGTAAAGCATACACCTGGCCTCACATTAAAACTACAAACCAACTGGTATAATAATGCTGTTTCATAATATTTTACCCCTGCAATACCTTGTCTGTCCAATCCTGTGTGCTCGAGCTGCTGCTTGCAAGTCATTTTGAGGATTGAAATCACTGTCCACAAAGATTACAGTATCGGCTGCTGTCAGGTTCATACCAACGCCACCTAAACAACACAGACACTGGACTCATAAATCAGGGGGGATTTAAATGTGGAACTCAGAATGGTTTTGCGGTGGCACAGATGCTACTGCAACAACACAAACACGTTAGCACATGTTAACAAACCTCAAGTTAAGTCAACTGATACTAAGTCTATTTCAGGTGAAGACTGAGATATCTAAGAGTGCATTTTCAAGTCATGAAAAAAAATGATTCCCCTAATTTAGTCGACCCACGCTCAACTATCATGTATCGTTTAAGAAGTCACGTCAGCAGTGGCAGCATTAATCCCTGCAGACAAAATGACCTCTCAACCACTGATGTTTTGAGAAATGCAAAACAGACTTTTGGGATTACTGTACAGAATCAGATCAATTCTGAGTAAAATTCTGGGAGTTCCCATTTGTCTCCATTGATGAAAGGACTAGCATTTTCCCCTTGGCATTTAGTTTGCGCACCACCATCCAAGTCAGATATGAGGGCAATAAACCCTTCATCTGTCTGAGTCATAAGTCCCTGTTCCAAGGAATGATTAGAAGCATGTGGGTAAGTTTGCAAAGATTTTAGATGTGATAAGAAAGGAGACATTTCAGTGATGAGAATCTGTACCACACTCTATAGTGAAATTTTCACAGAAATCATAAAACTGAAATGTCAGCGTATTTTGAAAGATGTTATGTCATCTAAGACTTGCTACAACAGGCTGGCAGATCCAGCAACTGCTTTGTTACTATTAAGCTTGGGTCGATATGTCTAATCTAATTCAGTATTGTATTGCTTACATAACTGTGATATTTAAACACGGGGATAAGTGTGCTGTAAAAATTAACGATCAAAACACCATTTATTTATCCATCCCTTTCTGCAATGGATTTACCAAAGATGATGGGAGTCAGATGTGCTGTGACGTTACGTCCAATATGGAGACAGATGAGTATGACTGGATTTCCGTTTAGCCAAATAGCAGCGATGATACAGCAATAAATTCAAAACATAAATCTTTTTAAATCTTTGCAATGTGTTTTACGCAGTCAGCTGGTTTAGTAGGTTTCCTGAATGGATCATCATGATACATGATGTGTCACATTTTTTTTTCTGATATTTAAAATGTTTTTTTTTCTGATGTCTAAAAAGTAACAAGTAGCTTAAGTACTGCAGTAACTGCAGAGCCAAAAACGTTTTAATATGTGCTTTTAATAACTGTTTGGAAAAGAAAACTGTCATTCAAATCATTCTTTAGGCAAAACTCACTCTTTTACGCTGTTTTAAAATCTATATTAGTCTTACTTTTGACCATGTTAGTCCCAAAGATAAAAGTTTTTTTTAGGCATTAAATAACTTGCAGTCTTTACTATAGGTCTACTATGAGCCTTGGTAAATGGGAGTACATACATACATCATCTAAACCGCTTAACCTTCTGGGTCGCGGTGGGGTGCTGGAGCCCATCCCAGCTGCCACTGGGCAGAAGGCAGGATACACCCCGGACAGGTCGCCAGTCCATCGCAGGGCAGACAGACAGACAGACATACACAGTCACACACACACTCACACCTAGGGGCAATTCAGCATGTCCAATTGGCCTGACTGCATGTTTTTGGACTGTGGGAGGAAACCGGAGTACCCGGAGGAAACCCACGCAGACACAGGGAGAACAGGCAAATTCCACACAGAAAGGACCCTGGTCACCCGGCCGGGAATCGAACCCAGGCCATTCTTGCTGTGAGGCGACAGCGCTACCCACTGCGCCACCGTGCCACCATGGGAGTACATGCTTCATATAATAATCTCCTTCCAATATTTGCACTTAGAGAAGGAAATTCCTTTAAATATATATGTAACGAGGCAAAAGTGTAAAACCGCCCCTTTGGTCTTATTATGAGGGCTAACAGGCTGTTGTGGTTATTTAGGAAATCGTTTGTCAGGTGTCAAGGAATCCTTTTTGGAAGCAACTGTTTTAATGTACTGGCCTCTGAAACTAGAACCCACCAGCTCGGGTGCTGAGGAGGAAGATGAAAACGTCTTTGGTGCTGAAGTTCTTAATGGCCAGATTGCGTTCCTCTCCTCGCACTGAACCGTCCAGACGCTCATAGCTGTAACCTACAAGAGTAGGAGGCCAAAGTCAGCTCATGTTTAAAGAGCAAGCAGCACACTCATGCGCACACAGGCGCTAACACAGGATGTGATACTCAAACCACAGCTATTTCTCTAGATCACAGAACAAGATAAGGCTAGAAACATACGTGGTATAACTGCAAAACGTGCAGTTTTATGTCACAAAAAAATGCTCCAACTTCATTTTGATAATATAAATAAATGCAAAACACTTTCAAAACAATTTCAAAGGAAAATAAACATACTTCGTGTGTTCATGTATGTCTTAAAATGGATGTGCAAATGCAATAATAGTAGTTTTGAGATGAAATACAGGTCAAACAATCCCTGGAATGTTATGTGGAAAGCAAACAACTGTGACAATTGTGAAAAAAGACACTTTCACAAAACCCTGAAAGTGTTATCTAGACTTATTTTCCCACATAACAGTTTAGGCAGAACAAAGCCTTAGGCATTTTGTTATTTAACTAGATCATGGATTATTTACACTTACAAAAGCATGCTGTCAAAGCCAGTGGCATACATTTTAAAAAAAATATACACGTGTCTGTGTCACCTCTATACTCCAGGTAGTCTTGAAGAATATCCAACATTCTGGTCATTTGAGAGAACAGCAGAACACGGTGACCCCTGAGAATCAAACAAACATATATACATAAACATGCTTCATACGTATGCTACTATTTCTCTCTGCCTTTGCTCATCGATTGAACATGATTTTCCCCTATGTTTAGAAAGAAAATACTAGATATATATTTGGGCTGAGACCACTTATTTGTTCATCAGTAACAACTGAGAACAGACATGAAAATAACATGAAATTTTACACACGCAGCAGTGAGTTGTCCTATGATTTGTGGTGTGCTGCTATATAAGTAGAGACTTACAACTGAAGCTCAACAAAGCAAGTGCTGTGTGAAGCTCTGCTTCAGCTTGGCGCACTGACCATTAAGAGGAGCAATTAAACCCTGAGCAATCATGAGTTCTGATGAGAAAGACAGTATTTTGTTTGGAGATGCTGTTTTGTTTTTTTGCCTGTCTGTACGACTCAATATGAAAAGACCTTGGGTTTTGTTTCTTAAGCCCTATTTGAGCAGGATTGGTTTTACCTGGGTAGGTGCAGTAATTTGACTGATTACAAACGAGATCCATGATTTTAGTGCAGTACGAATCTGCAATGTCCGTTGTTTTTACAAGTCTGCTGAGTAATAATTCTGGAGTGAATTACTTTCCACAATTCACTGAACTCTAAGCTCCCTAAGTAATAGTAGTCCTGTTTGAATCAACGTCACAGTAATGTACTAACAAAACAGAGTGACAGAAATTGCCCCCTCCATTTTTCTTATTTTTGGGACCTGAAGACAAGGCTGAAAGCTAAAATGGAGCTTGATTTAACTGAACTTGTTAATCCTCAAGTTCATGACAAGACTATGAAATGCAAAACATTTGATGTAAAGTCTCCTCCCTCATCCACTGTCAAATTTTGAGAGGCATTTGGCACCATAAATGCCATTTAGCCGTACAACAAGTTGTTAGTTGTTACTGATCGGAAGCGTGGCAACTGTCGCATAATGCTAACATAAACATCTGTGCAATGATGCACAAACTGCATTACTGGACCTCCTCTTTCAGCTCAAACATGGAGTTATATTTATAGAACATATACACTTGTCAACATGCAACATAGATATATTTTTAAATGATGACTTTTAAATTAAACAGATTAGTACTACTGGACGTCTTCTCCTCACTGTATCTCATCAACATTTGTTGCAACTGCAATTCTGTTGTCCTCTGCTGAAACCGTGAAACCACTTCCACACTGCTGAGATTTTCACTCTGCAACATCAGAGCACGACTCTCAGTGAATCCACAAACAAAAATGGGGCACTGTAATTAGTGGTTAACACGAGACCTACAATAATGAATTAATTTATCTGTGAATAATGTATTGGATGTAAAGATATTATACATTACCTGATAGCTGTTACAATGCTTAATCTGTTATTAATGTACTTGTTTATTGGCTTTGATACAAGAAGTGACTCAAGATATTAAAAGAGTCAGGCGTACCCCTCTAGCAGATATGCAAGCATGGTGTCCAGCAGAGAAAGCTTTCCACTGGCCTCCACCAAGTGTTCCCCCATCTCAAACGGTTCTGGCTCCACACCTTACAGAGTGAGAGTATGAGAGAGCATGAGAGAGAGAAAGGGGGGGAAGGGAGAGGGAGAGTGGGGAAGGGACAGAGAGAGAAGGAAAGAGAGAGATAGAGAGAAAGAGAGAAGGAGAGAGAAAGAGAGAGAGGGAGGGAGAAACAGTGCTTAAATTGAAAGGTGCTGAGGTACAGCAGTTACAGCTGGCCCAAGGCACCTCATTAGTTGGAGACTAGCCTTGATCTCCACACTGTTCTGCCCTCAATGTGACCAGGACCTTTTCTGTGACACTGAAACCAATGGGACCACTGACAACTATTTGTGGAAGGGTCTTATTTGACCGATGGCAGAGCTGTTCACATCGTCCAGTCAGGGTTGTGCCGGGCGCCGCTGAAGTTTTTTGATCAATTAGTAATGTGTTCATTTTTTGTGTGGTGACATTGCAGTTATGGAAATAGACATGGATGTTTTTGAACTTGAAAGAAAGTTTAAAAAATGAGAGAATAAAAAGTAAAAAGCACAACAAGGAGGCAATGGACACACTTGTCCTTTATTACCATCAAACAGGTATGGGTGGTTCACACACTTCCTCAGCTGCACCAGAATATTCAGAAGCCTGGTCTTACTGCCCTGATCACTCCCAAAAGCATCTGAAATGACAGAGACATTTAAAAGCATGTATGTAATATAAACGTGCATACGGTACATAATCACTGTCCTACAAAAACATTGCACTTTTAAAATGGGAAATTTACAGGAGAGGGAAAAACATCCTTAACTTTAATGTATGTTAATGTAATGAAATTTTGGACTATTTTTAACATGTTTTGAAATGCAACTTTTGAATATTTTCATTTTCTGATACTCTATGAAATGTTATCTTGTATATTTCAATAATCTGTAATAAGAAAAGCTCAAGACACTAACAATAATGAATCATTATTTTCACAAATATCATAACTTTATCTTCCTCTTCATCTTATTATTATATTTAGTTATTATTTCTTTAGATTAATAAGATTTTGGGATGTATTTACAAAAACTGTTTTGGTGACTATTTACTTCCACTGTTTGTGAGCACCGTTAGCCCAGAAGCTCAATCACTAAACTAAAGAGGCAAAATCTCTTGGCTCATTGACTGCATTTGTACTAAGTGAAAAAGCAGGTAAATATGATATTCTTTGCTGAACTATTCCATTGTGGCACTCCAAATTGCTTTATGTCGGAGCATGTGCTAAACTTAGCCATGCTGTCTTTAACACCTGGCGCAGGCTGAATAATTTTTTTACAGCTCTTGACAGACGGCTAATATGCACGCTCCTGTTTATTCTCGGAAATAAATGCAACTGTGGACCTGCTACCTAGCTGGCAATCTACAGAAGGACTCAGACTGCACTTGGAGTTAAAACCTATACTGTCGGCCTGAAATGCGAGAGCCTCACAAGCTGTGCCAAATCAAAATCTCTACAGAAACTGGTGTGCTGTGTGTTACTGCTTACATGTTAACATTTATCCTGATAAACAAACATCTGTTCCTCCACTGAAGTGTGCGGGTTCATGAATGTACTAAACATGTCAGCTATTTGAACAGCTTTTCCGTTTTCATTAATTAAACCGTTTTAATTAAGTAAACATTACCACATATTTGTTTCAGCTCCAAAATGTTCACACAATGTTAAGTGCAGTTAACGATTCAAACCGTGTTCTGACATCAACAATATTCACTCTCTTTTTTTGGTAATGAGTCTTACCCAGGTCTTTCATCAGAATAGCTTTGTAGTACTTCTTCTGCAGGGTGGACATTCCATGATAAACCACCAGTTCTGTCTTCTTGGGCAGCTCTGCCGCCACCTCAGACTTGACCCTGCGCAGCAGGAAGGGCTGCAGCACCTGGTGGAGCTCTTCAGCTGCAAATACACACACACGCAAACACAAAGTTGATAAACATGCCTATCAGATCAACAGGGAGCTCATACAGGGAAACATTCATGTTAAACTGCCATTTCTAAACCATATCGTTTCACTTGCTCAGCTTATGCTGTGGCAAACTAGAGGGCAAGGCTGGGCTGGATGCCACATTTACAGGCGCTGAAGCAAAACAAATACACCCCGCTTCATTGCTCCTTCTTTTGTCTGTACACGGTACAGACAAAAGCAACATCCTCATCCCTTTTCACGCTTTTCACCTCTTGAAGCAGAATTCAGCTTCTTTTTGCCAGCTTATTGTTAGAATTTTCCCATTCCACCTTAAATGGTGCAGCAATAACCACTGAAATAACTGGAGCCTACGCAACCAAGTCAGTTAACAGGACACAACAGTCCTCCTGCTTCACTGCTGGGTTTTAAATGTCCTCAAAAGGCTAAAAGGGCTGACATACAATTGTTTTTGTAGTTCTGCATCTTATTGTATTTTTAGCCACTGCCAAAGCCATAGGTCATGAAGCTAGTGCAGCGTAAGCTAAGCTATCTAAAGTAGAAAGATTAGTAATGGTTAGATGCACCATAAAGCAACTTGTCACTTGCCAATCTTATTGATTCATTGGTCTTGCCCATCTTATTGATTTACGGCTAAATGCTTCGGATACTCAATCATTAGCTACTGCGTACCCTATTTAACCAATGATTCAATTTGAAGTCAACATATATGTGGTTAAACGTTTAGCAATTTTAAACAATTAGCTTTTGAAGCATGCTGTCATACCTAGAGTGTGCTCAGTCTGCACATCTGAATAAGCACTAACAAATTCTTCTGTAGCATCACATGGGAACAGGCTGGGCTGAATGAAGCTGAGAAGGGAGTAGACTTCCTGCAGATTGTTTTGGATTGGAGTTCCTGTTAACAAAACTCTGAAGCCCACAGAGAACTGAGAGGGAGTGGAAGAGAAAGAGAAAGAGAAAGAATCTATTAGTATAGCTATCACAGCAAGGAGCCTTAGAATAGTACTTTTCTAACATAACAACGAACTTCTGAAAGGGTTTGATGGAGCAGTGATTTCTGGTTCTTCAGCCTGTGAGCCTCATCCACAACCAAAATATTCCCATTTCCACCTGAAGGGGGAGTGAAGGGGCAAGGTTACTGTATAACTTTGCAACATAACTATGTTTTATTCACTTCCACAAACAGATAATCACCTTCTTAAGTCGCTTGCATCTTTTAGGCACATCTATGGGGAAAAAAAAAACTTGTGAAACGCCAAAAAACGTAATAAAGATGACAACTGCTTTCAGCAATCCCTGTGTCTATACCTCATAAGTAGTTAGCAAGACATGGAAATCTTTGTCCCCCATCATTTCTCTCTGTAGCTCCGCCCTCCTTTCTTTATCTCCAGTGTAACAGACCACAGACAGACTGGGGCAGATGCTGAAGTAGAGCAGGCATAAGAAAGACATTCTCAAACACTACTGACATCTAGTGATGCTTCAATGCAGTACAGTTAACAGGACTGTATACTTATGATAGAGGCATTTGGAGTGTATGCACTACATTTATGCTTCACACATCTCTGCCTTGTAACACAAAACAAATCCAACAAAAAGCCAGCGGCTATGTGTCTTACCGCTCCAGCTCCTGTCTCCAGTTCTCCAGAACCGACAGAGGACAAAGCACCAGAAATGGACCCTTCATGCCAAGACAGCCTCGAGCATACACCAGCAAGGAGATGGTCTGTGGTAGAGATTCATGCAGTGTGCAACCAATACATAACTTTAGCTCAGTGTCTTTTGTTTTGACTGTGACATGCAATATATTGTCTTATATTCACAAATGTTTAACACTTATGGTGCACCAAAATGGAAATTGTGAGCCAATGCAATGCTTTTCATATACATATCTGTCAATACAGATATCCATTCACAAACATTTATAAAAACTGGGACTAGATTCACTTGGAATATCATTAGGGGGAACTGTAATATTTGTTTCTAAATATCAGAAATGCAACAGGTTAAATAAAAGCAGTAAAATGATGAACAATGTTGACATTTTAGCCCAGTAGCCCAGTGTTGCCTAAATGTCCTGCTCTTATGGAGTGCAATAAATACATCATAAAGTGGACTGAAATATTCCTCAAATATGCGTCTGATGTTGATTATTTTTTAAGCAACTACCTATCGATACTGTTATGATTCCAATATCATCATGCATTTTTATTTAAAACACTTAAAATCAATAAAAAAGTATATAAAATCTGCATCATGTAAAATGCTTACAAGAGACAAAACATTAAGGGGACCTTTCACAATATGAAAATGCAATCAAAGCTTAAAAACCTCTGTACATAAAAGAACACAGCACCAGCATACGTGCTATTTCCCACATTTTAGAGCAGTGGCGAAAACATTCAACGTATGAAATAACACATGGACATGACAAAAAAAGTGAAATCTGTCTTATAGTTTGTTTTCTCAAACTAGCACCCCTTTGCTTTAATGCAACTAAGCACAATTGGCATTCTGTCAACCAGCTTCATGTAAAGCTCTTGCACACAGTACAAAATTTTGAGGCTACTCTTAATTTATTTGACTTCCAGTCAGAATGACCATTAAGTACAAGTTAATCATTTTTCAGCATAGGGAAAAAACAACAGGATACATTTAATAAAGAAAATTACACTGAAGCCTCAGAACTTAATATAACATGAAAATTTTCAGTATTTAATGTGTCTATCTTTCACCTTTATTATAGCTTTCATTCTTTTTTAGGAGACTTTCAGTTTTTCAAAGAAAGTTCAAAGTACAGAAGTTGGTTGTATTTTCTGCTCATGATGTTGGGGTCTGGACTCTGGGGTGGCCAATCCATTATTCTGAGAACACCAGCAGTTTCTTTGCTTGAATTGCAAATTTTCTTCTTTTTTTTTGTCTATTCCATTTTGTCAGTAAGGGCTTCTAGACATCTACACATCCTTCCAGACACATACTGCTGAGCTGTCTTCTTGCAGGGGAAGGATACAAATCTCTTTAAGTACTGTTTATATGATGGTGATGGTTTTGGTGATCTATGAGGTATTGCACAGTTCTTACAAGTCCCATTTTCTCTATATTTTTTTAGAATGTTTGAACTCATGTGTTTTCACTTATTTTCCTTCGACTTACCTGTTCTGTATGCAAGTGGCTTTTCTTATATCTAATCTCTTCAGAAATATCTAACTAAAAATGAATAATTTGTACTTAATGGCTGTTTTGATTAGAAAAAATTAAACAAATGAAGGGTGCTCTCTATGTTTTCTACATTGCAGTTTGTTAAGCACTTGTGGCTGCTGAACACTGTTTTTATTTTTTTTTTGTTTTTGTAAACATTAATTTCACCATGTATTTCATCATGTTTGTCTTTCAGAAACACATTGCAAGCATAAACTTTAAGATCAAAATGTATTTCTAAAATTGAGCAGATACATACATTCTATCAGATGTGTACAAACATTTGACGGGTGCTATAGATTAGGGCTGGGCAAGTCAATGTTTAGTCTTTAATGCTGAATTGCATTAAACAGACCATAGACTTGATACCCTCTACAGCAGGGGGATCTAAGATGTACAGCAAAAATAAAACAAAAATCCTCTACCAGAGCCTTGTGATGTTTACAGGCTTTCACTAAAACTACACCACTTCTAACCTGACAGGTCTTGCCTAAGCCCATCTCATCACCGAGGATGCATCCTTCCAGATGCTTCAGGCACTCACAGAGCCATTGCACTCCATGCAGTTGGTAAGGGCGCAGATGAATTCCTGGTGAGAAACAGAACCAAAAAGAATAATAGTCACATATTGTTGATATTTTTTCCCTTTCACTTCCATCTGAAATTGCTGAAGCATAGCTACTTATAAATATAAATGACAATGACACCATTCCTGCATCCAGGTTTTTCAGCAGACAGAAGGTGAGAAAAGGTCCAGGGACAGACGGAGTCTCTTCATCCACCATAAAGCACTGCTTCAAAACATCTACCATCGTTCCAGTCTCCAAAAAAACAAACACTACTGGACTAAATGACTACAGACAAGTAGCCCAGTCCTCTGTAGTCACGTAGGTCTTTGACGTGAAGGCCTTTATAAACCCTCTGATGGATCAGTTTGCGTACGGAGCCAACAGGTCTGTTTATAACATGGCCAACTTGGCCCTGAACTTCATGCTACAGCATCTCAAAAGTACTGGAACCTATGCTAGAGTTCAGTTTGTGGATTTCAGCTCAGTTTTCAACACCACAGCGACAGAGTTGCTGCAGCTCAAACTGTCCCAGCTGTCTGTGACAGATCGCATCTGCTGGTGGAACACGGATTTCCTGCCAAACAGGAGACAACAGGTGTGGCTAGAAAAACACACATCAGACCACCGGTCCCTCAGTACTAGTGTACCACAAGGTTGTGTTCTTTCACACTTTCTTTTTAGTCTCTATAAAAATGACTGTTGCAGAATACACCACTGTGGTGAGCCTCTTACCCAGTCTGCCAACAGAAAGGAAGTCAAGCAGTTGGTCTCCGGTGCAGCAGCAATCATCTGCTATTCAAGACACAAAAGACTGTAGAGACGGTGGTGGACCTGAGGTGCAACCCCCTCTCCCTACACTCCCTCAAGAGAGCCATCAATGGCTCTGTGGTTTCCACTGTGGAGTCACTCAAGATCTTGGGCACCACCATATCCAGGGACCTGAAGTGGGAGAGGAACACACTCACCACAGCCAAAAGAGCACAGCAGAGACTGTTCTTCCAGAGACAGTGAAAGAAATTCAACCTGCCGCAGAGCCTGATGATCCACTTCTACACATTGATCATCGAGTCAATCCTCCATAACCATCAGGTTTGGTTCCTCCAACTCACAAGAACAAACTAAGGTCTAGTGCATAATCAGGACAGTGAAGAGGATCATTGGATATGCTCTGTCAACGCTTTACGACATCTACAACAGCAGGGCAACAAAGGACAGGCAAAATTATAGCTGACCTCTCTCATCTTGGACAACTCCTCTTCCAGCCTCTTCCCTCTGGTAGGAGATTCAGGGCCATCAAAACCAGCACAGCCAGACACGCTAACAGCTTTTCCCCCAGAGCTGTAGCATTCATTAACCAGTGGACAGCTCATACTTTAAACTTAAACTAAACCATTAAACCTCTGTACTGTATTACAGTAACTCCTCTGTAACATAATGCTATTTGCACAACTGTACAGATGTTACATTTCTGCAAATATTCACACCATTCTGTGATATTCTGTATATTAGTTTTAAAGTATATGTAATCAGTATATGTACAGATATTCACACTTCATTTAGCTCCACCATGGCTCTTTATTATTCATTATTCTTTATTCTGTTTATTGTATTTTTAATTTCGCCCTGGCTAAATACTTGTTAACAGTCTGTTTGCTTGTCTGGTTTGTTTAGTGTTACATGTCATACAGGTGTGCACTCACCAAGGCAAATTCCTTGTATGTGAAACGAGATAAAGTGATTGTGATTCTGAGGAAATACTGGAATGACCATTACTTAAGGGATGGTGGCTGAAAGGGGATTGATGGGCCAAGGAGATAAAGAATTTCAAGGGTCCCATGGGCCACAGGACACAGCACGCGATACAGCAAGAAACCTTATAAAGAACACAAATAACAACATACATTTATTCCTAATTCCGTCATAACGTTACCCCATAACATTTCACGCCTCAAGACTTAAAGTTTCTTCTTTAAAAACACAGAAACTCCACAGGACCACTGCTGAAGCTGGAGTTTGTTAGCTAATTAAGAATCTTAAGAGTCTTTATTTCATTGAAGTTAATTTCACTTTTACTTGAGAATGGTTTTCGGCTGTTATAGCCTCAACTGGCGCTGATCAAGAGCTAAACCGGCGCGCAAGACTTCTACTGAGGATGTTCAGGAGGTCCATAAGGCTGAAGCTGGTGTTCTATTTGCCAGCTTCTTGTTCGATTTTTTTCGTTCCACCTTAAATGGGGCAGCAGTTAACTTACACACAGGCGGCAGAATGTAGCCCCTGCATCATTTTAAGGTGGAACTGGGAAATTCGAAAAAGAAGCCGGTTAATAAGAAGCTGACTTAAAACTTCAGCTATGTAGGAAGATCAAACTTTAAGACTGGAAGACGTTTATGAAATCTACGTAACCTACTGCCCTGAGCAATGGAAGTAGTTTTGGTACTAACAGACCAGGCGAGCACAGTTAATCATGAAGTTTAGCTGTACTGTAACTGAAAGTAGCTCAGTATCAGGTATGAAACTCTGTTCATCGCTGCTGCCTCCAGACCGAACCAGCTAGCCAGGCTAACTCGCACAGCACAACACACCTTTAAGTCCCCATGTTTTCAAGTCTTTCTCTGATAATTCCGACTTGTCTTTGTCCAGAATGTTACTCTTAACCGCTCGAAGAAACCTTGACATTTTTGTTTCATAAATTGCGCCCCTCTGAATATTGTTTAGCTCTGTTATAAAAGTAACTGGCAATTCAAAGTTTAAGTTCGTCACTGCGCGTCACTTCGCGCGCTGCTTCCTGGAATGGGCGGGTACAACCTGGAACTGTCCAATCACCATCCTCCATCATCCTACTCTCTCACACTCTATGGAACCATCTCAAGACATTTCAAAATAAAAGGATGATATCATTAAATACAGAACGCACAATTTATCATAAAACTAATAGATACATGAATTTATTTATTTACATTCATTTAAAAATGACAGATACATGAAGTCATTAAGTGTAAAGGCACTTTAGATTTGTTTGGACAGGTTAAGGCATGTTTACATTTCTAAAATTCTACGTGGATCTAAATAACAAACTAGGATCTGACGGAAAATAAAACAGTAAAATAAAGTGTACTATACAGTGGGTTCATAGCCCTTTACCGATCAGCCAGACCTAAGCCTAACAGAACATCAAATTATAACAACAAAGTACCAAAACATCAGCACAATCCATTTTCTTAAAATGCTTTATAGTTTCACACTGAGTAACATGGAGCCCAGACAAAAATAAAGCTTGAGAAGAGGAACCCTGTGGACAGGCAGACTGTGATGAAGGCTGTTCACTTTCTGCCCATGGTGCACATAATTGGAAAAAAACTTCAGGACGGCATGTCTGGTCAACACAACGAAAAGAAGAATTAGAAAGTGTTGTAGGCATTTACACAGTAGAAAGAAACATGCCAATATAAATATGTACAATATTAAGCATTTTAGACAGTTTATTTTTCTTATACATTATTTTCACCCAAATCTTGTGTCCGTCTTCATTCATTAGTCAACAACGTGTGTTTTATAAGTGCTCATAATAGTAAATAAATAGCAAATAAAAATTTAAAATAATAGTCAAAATTGAACATACCTTGCACATTAAATGCGTGAGAGGCCATACCTGTAATCAAGAATAAAACTTGACTGCAAAGCAGTTCTAATGAGTGTAACAACATGCTAAATGTCAATAAGGCAAGTTCACAAAGGACTTACCCAGCAAATGCAATGCCTTGCAAAATGACAAAGAGTGTAGACAGTCCAAATGACCCCAACTGTAAAGAAGAAACAGTATAAAAAGTACAATTAAAATAGTTAAGACTGATCTTCTGGATACAAATTAAGCCATCTCTATTTCCAGACAATTTAAAGGGAAACTCCACTGATATTTCAAAAAATTCTACATAATCAAATGGTTGAGATGTAGACAGAGTCATTCGGTGTGAAACACTCCATTCTGGAGAAACTCACTAAGTCACAAATGTTCACAGTAGTGGTGATAGGAGCCAGACGTTCACCTCTAAAAGCTCCTTCACACAAAGTTGTTACATTAAATGGTATGAATACGCTGCCTGATGTCTGAGACATTGTTTTACAAAAGTTTTGCTGTAAGGATTTGGCCTAAAACACATATATTTAAAAGCTGTCCGTGGTGGAGAGGTACATGAATGGTGTTGTGAGGCAAAATAGTCCCCAGAGAAAATGTTTTCCAGATTTACCACTGTTTTACCAACAACACCTAAAAATGTCAGAGTACACGTGTAGGTCCATCACTGGTTGTTTTGAATAGAAAATAAAAGAAAATTTTTAGACAACGTGAGCTCAGGTTCTTATTACCACCACTGTGAAGAAATCTGAGTTGGCAAGTTTCTCTAAAATGAATCACTTCACATCAATCCACTCTGAATGACTCTGTTTGAATATCAGTGACTGAATTACACAGAAATAAAATAAAAAAAAATCAGTGGAAATGTTGAAAATCAGTGGAATTCCCCTTTAAACTAGAACCCTTTCTAGTCTAGGACTGGGCTTAATCTTGTAGAGTCCAAGAAAGCTGTCTGTGATGTTACAAGCCTTGTATATGCGATGAATTTACTCACCCATAGAGCTGCATACAGTGTAAGCACCATGCACGTCTATGGAAAAATGAAAATAAAAAGTTTTATTTTGTAACACATTGAAAAACTGACTCATTCCTTACATAGTCAATTTTAAAGATATTTAACAAAATGCAGTGATTTGGTTGCATAAACCAGAGAATGTAGTGAGTTTGCTAAATGATGCAGTTGCAGTAACGTTCCTCTCAAAGAGTTGTATTACATTTTAATATTCATACTGTATGGATACATTTGGGCCCATCTTCTTATTACAGACTCAAAGTACTCAATCATAAACTAAACTGAATTAATTTGTTTAGGACCAGTTAGTTACCATTAGACTAATTCAGTTATATCTGAGGCAAATCTTGATTTACTGACTCAACCCTACAGCGCTGTGAAAAAGTGTTTGCCCCTCACTTGATTTCTTCTATTTTTGCTAATTTATCACATTAAAATGTTTCAGATCATCCAATTAACTTTAATATAAGACAAAAACACAAACACAAAATGCAAAAAGCTTTTAAGTGATCGTTCCCATTTATTGAAGATAAAACCTATATCATAACCTATATCATTCATGTGAAAAAGTAACTGCCCCCCTAAACCTAAAAACTGGTTGTGCCACCCTTGGCCGTAACAGCTGCAATCAAACGTTTGCGTTGACTTGCGATGAGTCTTTTACATCATTGTGGAGGAATTTTGGCCCACTCTTCTTTGCAGAATTGTTTTAATTCGGCTACGTTAGAGGGTTTTTCAGCATGAACTGCCCATTAAAGTTCTTGCCATAGCATCTCAATGGAATTCAAGTCCGGACTTTGATTCCGACACTTAAAAATCTTCATTTTGATTCTTTTGAGCCATTCAGAAGTGGACTTCCTTGTGTGCTTCAGATCATTTTCCTGCTGCATAACCCAACTACGTTTGAACTTTAGGTCACAAACGGATAGGCAGAGATTCTCCTTCAGGATTTTCTGATAGAGAGCAGAATTCATAGTTCCGTCAATTATGACAAGTCGTCCAGGTCCTGCAGAAGCAAAGCAGCCCCAGACCATCACACTACCATCATCATGTTTGACTGTTGATACGATGTTCATATGGTGGAATGTGGTGTTAGCTTTACGCCAGATGTAACAGGACCCTATTTTCCAAAAAGTTCTACCTTTGACTCATTAGTATATTATCCCAAAGGTCTTGGGGATCATCTAGATGTTTTTTGGCAAATGAGAGACAAGGCTTTATGTTCTTTTTCGGTCAGCATTGGTTTGCCCCTTGCAACTCTTCCATGGATGCCTTTTTTTGTCCAGTGTTTTTCTTTTTGTGGAATCATGTACATTGACCTAAACTGAGGCAAGTGAGACCCAATTGTGACACTGAACCCAACAGTCAATTGAATTTGGTTAACTATTTGATTTAATAGCTAAGGGGGGCAATTACTTTTTCACATAGGGCCTGGCAGGGCTGAAAAAGCATTTTTCTTCAATAAATGAAATCGTCTTTTAAAACCAGCATTTTGCATTTACTTGGGTTATCTTTGTCTAATATTAAAAGTAGTCTGATGATCTGAAACATTCAAGTGTGATAAATATGCAAAAATAGAAGAAATTGGGAGCACATATTTTTTCACAGCACTGCACATTCAACGTTCACATCATATCTGGTTTTCTTGATTACGCCATCATTTGATGCAATGGCTGCACCATATATGAATATAGTGCCAATATGATTGGATTCAATATGTTTTTAAAGTTTAGTCATATGCCAGATATGAATAAAATAGATTTGACTTCTTCCTAAGTGAAGTGTGATGTTAGGGTGTTTCATAACTAATTATAATAAAGGACAAATAAATATGGTTTTGAGGTTTTTTGTGTAAGTGGTAATTTGTAAGTTTGGATCGATGCTGATGGTGGTGATGATCTACTCACCATAATGACAACTGTTGCAAAGACTCTGGTTTTATTGGCTTTACTGTTCATAGCACTGTGGGAAAAATCACATTATGCATAAGTAATTTACTACTATTTTACCATTATCAACATTACATATAAAAACTCAGGAGGCATAAGTAAGTTCACTGGTCATTGTGTGCAGTAAATAAAATGCCTATATTTGTGTTGTAGACATCACGACTGTTGGTTCCTATCTCCACCACTGTAAAGAAAATCTGAATCAGTAAGTTTCAGATTAAAACTAAAATTTAGAAGAAATGGTGGAAACTAAAATTTAGAAGAAATGGTGGAATTCATCTTTAACTCAGCAGCCTATCAGCTCAGGTCTAAAATCAATAATCTTCTCTGGTAAGTAAATAAATGTATGGGATAAGTGTGAAAGTGATTCACCTGGCTAAGAAGCAAATATTCCCAAACGTGTAAAACATGCTAAAGTAAGTCAGGCCTATAATGGGAATAGACAGGCAGCACACTCCCTAAAGAACAAGAGAGGTAATTTATTTACATACAGAACAAGAATACATGAACACCAATTCACAGACCAATTTGTGGTCAAACAGACAGCACAACATTACATTTCATCTTTTAGACACATGTTTAGCTGTAATATTTCTAAACACTGCATTCCTCAAAGCTGCTCAGACCAGAGACACAGCTCAGTTCAGCCGCCACTCCCGCTGCGCTCTGGCAGGAAGCTGTAAATGACTTGAAACTTTTTTTCTGAACTATTCTTTTAGAGTGTAAGTTTAAAAAAACAATTTCAGATCATACTAACCACAGCGATGCAGCAGAGTCCGATGGCCACACACATGAAGCATTTCAGCCTGGCCTTAAAGGAGGGTTTCAGCTTGGCCACAGAATTTTTAACGTCTCTCAGCTGGGCCATGCACTTTTCTTTCACTGCCTGACAGTGAGAGAGAGACCACCACAGACCACATTCACTCAGATATACACTCACTAAGGAGCATTAGCAACAACAGCACACCAAATTGTGGCATATAATGCCCACGTTTTAAAACAGATGAAGATAAACAAAGATTACAAGTTGAAAATTGTTTGAGATGCTTGAAGAAGGAAGATCACTTTACCTTGCGTTTATTACAACCATCGTTTCCTTTTTGACTGCCCATGGTCTTTAACACGAGAGGCTAATTGCTGAAGTAGTTTCGTACTTGATTTATTTTCCTAAAGTTTCTCTTTCAGTGAAGTGGTCTCCCGGGTCCACT